ACGCATGGGCGCTGCAAGGAGAACTTCCTCCCGACGAGCGATGCCGAGCTTCTGTCCAGCAAGTGCTCCCTGGGTGCTCCTGCCGAGTTGTACCGTCTCTTCATGGATCCTGGTCTGAGCCTGTCAACAGATACTATTTCCCTCTAGTCTGGAGCCGGCTTATTCATGTCGTTTAACAGTGTACTTTATAAAAGCATAAATTCTTGATGTCCTCTGATTTGTTGCTGTTGTTGTTAACTGCCACTGAGTCACCTGTGACTCATAGCGACCCCGTGTACGTCAACCTCTGACCTGCCCTATCCTGAGCCAATCTCACTGTCTCCGACAGACCTAATCCCACCGGTCCAGTCACCAAGTAAGTCCTCTCATCCTGGGTCTTCCTCTCCTTTACAGTCCCTCTACCCCTTCAACCATGATGTCCCTCTATAAGGGTGGGTCCTTCCTGGCCACGTGGCCAAAATACTCGAGACGGAGCTTCAAAATCCTCACCTCTAGGGAGCAGTCTGGCTTCACCCTCTCCAGGACAGATCTGTTTGCTCTCCCGGCAGTCCATGTCATGTTCAACACTCTACTTCAGCACCAAGACTCAAAGGCATCGAACTTTCTTCTATTATTCGTAGTTATTGTCCAGCTCTTGGATGCAAAGCAAGTAACTGTGAAGACCATGGCCTGGGTCAGATGCACCTTAGACTCCAGACTGACATCTTTGCTCTTCAGTCCTCTAAAAAGGTCCCTAACAGCAGACTTTGCCAATGCAAGACATCTTTTTTTTTAACAGCATATTCTTTCCATTTAATTCTTTCCCCCCCAATTCATTCATTGTTGCACATTTTCCCACCTGCCCATCCCCCCCCAGAGTTTGTTTTTCTCTTTGAAGAAAAAAAATTTTCATTGTTATACAATCTCCCCCCCCTTGATGAGTCCACAGTCCACTTTACTATGCATTTCTTTTTCTGGAATCTTGTCATGAAAATAATACCTAATGCTATATTCCTTTTAAACAGTTCTCTCCCTCATCTGTTTCAATACAGTATACATCATTCATGCCCTCTTTTCTCAGGTTCCCCCTGTTTTACAACAGTGGCACTATGCAGTAGTTGTCCTTTTGTGACTGAGATATTTCACTCAGCATAACGTCCTCCAGGGTCACCCATTTTGTATAATATTGCATGAGTTCTTTCTTTATTTTTCAACATAGCATAGTATTCCATTGTGTGACTATACCACAGCTTTTCTATCCATTTGTTTGTTAATGGGCATTTGGGTTATTTCCAATTCTTTGCTATTATGAACAAAGCTGCAATAAACATGGGTGTGCATACATCTGCTTGGGTGGCAGTTCTGATTTCTTTAGGGTATATTCCCAGTGGTAGAATTTCTGGGTCAAGTGGTATTTCTCTTTCCAACTTTTTGAGAAAGTGCCATACTGCCTTCCATTGTTGTTGCACCATTTTACACTCCCACCAACAGTGAATAAGGGTTCCAGTTTCTCCACAACCTCACCAACATCTGTTACTTGCTGCTCTGTTGAATTTTGCTATTCTGACTGGGGTGAGATGATATCTTATAGTTGTTTTGATTTGGATCTCTCTTAGAGCTAGGGATTTGGAACATTTCTTCACGTGATTGTTGGCCATCTGAATGTCTTCTTTGGTGAAGTGTCTGTTCATATCCTGTGCCCAGTTTTCAATTGGGTTGTTTATCTTTATCTTGTTATAGTGCTGGAGTATTCTATAAATTCTACATACAAGTCCTTTATCAGACATGTCATTGCCAAATATTTTATCCTAGTCTACGGCTTCCCTTTTTACCCTGTTGGAGAAGTTTTTGGATGTGCAGAGGGTTTTTATTCTTAGAAGGTCCCATTCATTTATTTTATCCTCTCCCGGCTGTAGGATTTTCAGGATGCTCGGAAGACTGTTTATGTTGTGGATTAGGGCTTCTAGAGTTCTTCCAAGCTTTTCTCTTGTTGTTGTTGTTGTTATGTACCATCAAGTCGCTAGTGACTCATAGCAACCCCATGTACAGGAGCCCTACATCCTGCTCTATCCTGTGCCAACCTCACTGTCTCCGACACACCTTCTCCTGCCACCCCAATCACTGAAT